GAAGGAGTGGCTTTACAACAACTCTGTGACTGTTCTTGAATGGCCCAGCCAGAGCCCTGACTTAAACCCCATTGAGCATCTCTGGAGAGACCTGAAAATGGCTGTCCACCAACGTTTACCATCCAACCTGACAGCACTGGAGAGGATCTGCAAGGAGGAATGGCAGAGGATCCCCAAATGCAGGTGTGAAAAACTTGTTGCATCATTCCCAAAAAGACTCATGGCTGTATTAGCTCAAAAGGGTGCTTCTACTAAATACTGAGCAAAGGGTCTGAATACTTATGACCATGTGATATTTCAGTTTTTCTTTTTTAATAAATCTGCAAAAATGTCAAAAATTCTGTGTTTTTCTGTCAATATGGGGTGCTGTGTGTACATTAATGAGGAAAAAAAATGAACTTAAATGATTTTAGCATATGGCTGCAATATAACAGAGTGAAATTTTTAAGGGAGTCTGAATACTTTCCGTACCCACTGTATATGCAGTATGTAGATGAATAAGTAGAGCAGAACTACGCAATAAAAAAAGAACAAAAATACTCTCAGCTTCTGCTTCTGTGCCGCAGAGGCTCAAAATAGCCAGAACACAGAACAGTAATCTTTTTTTCTTTGCTGTAACACATGATCTACTCTGAGCAAAAGACAGACCAACAGAAGAAATATGATGGGAAGAGGTATGCATGCTCACTGCAAAGAACGTTTTAGTCCAGTAAATCAAAAACACCACAGGGAACAGTAAGGTTCCAGCTAGTTTCTTTCCAGTAAATGGTTTCTTATCGCAGTTCACACAATGACACCAATTACTATACACTGTAGTTCAGTGGTCCCCAACCTTTTTATCACCTCACCGCGGACCTGTCAACACTCGACAATTTTACCGGGTCGGGGGGCGAGGGGGTATGTAAATTGTTTACATTGTAAATATACTCCATGAATGTTATTTTTCAACAGCTAAAATAAAGTTGCCAGTTTGAACCGTCAGATAAGGCTCCTGCATGTTTGTGTGCCCGCTAAGACTCAAGTTCTTCTCCTCCCCTCTCCCTCACCTCCCTCTGTTGGCGACCACAGCCCTAACACTCTCTGACTCGGGTTGCTATGGTAACATTTAAACATGCCTTCAAAAGAAGATACAGATACACCACAAAAACGAATATAAAGCGCATGAAAATTTTAACTCACCATAACGCTAAATCAATGGGAACCCTGAGCTTGTTTCTCTGCAACGAGACAGTCCAATCTGGGAGTAATAGGAGACAATGACACCCGAAGTGGGCAGCACGGTGGCACAGTGGTTAGCGCCGTTGCCTCACAGCGTGAAGGTTCCAGGTTCGGGCCCCACCTGGGACCTTTCTGTGTGGAGTTTGCATGTTCTCCCCGTGCTTGCGTGGGTTCTCTCCGGGTACTCCGGCTTCCTCCCACAGTCCAAAGACATGCAGCTTAGGTTGATTGGTGTCTCTAAATTGCCCATAGGAGTGCATGTGCGTGTGTGTGGTTGTTTGTCTATGTGTTAGCCCTGCAATGGATTGGCGACCTGTCCAGGGTGTACCCTGCCTTCACCCGATTGCCGGCCGGGATTGGCTCCGTTACCCCGCTCAGGGACCAAACGGTAGAGAATGAATGTGTGGACTGTAAATTCCTGATTTAAAAATTGAATGATACTTTTAATCCAGAACACCGACAGAGTTGTTGTCTCGAACATACTTTTAAGGCCGCCGTCATTTGCGATCTCCAGCAGTTGATCTTCTTCTTGCACAGACCTGCTGGATTCACCTGGTTTGTTGACAAATGGGTTGCGGATCCATTCCTTGTTAGTTCGTGGGTCCTTTGTGGTTGGGGAGTAGCGCTCGAACTCTTTTAAAAGCAAAGACATGTGATCGTGCACCAGCTGGGAGAATGAAGGCTCAGGCTCAGTCTCACCCAAAATCCCCGCTAATGTTTGAAACATGTCCAAAATGCCTCTGTTGACGCGCCGTCCCCACAAATCCAGTTTGGCTTTAAATGCAGCTACTTTATCTGCCAACTTGAAGACAGTTGTCATTTACCCTGAAGTGACAGATTGAGTTCATTGAGCAGGTTGAATATGTCCACAAGTAAGCCAGGTTTGGCGCTCAAGTAACCGAGAGAATACGATCATTTTTCAGACTCAGATAAATAAAACAGAAATAATTAATGATTTCTAGTGCGGCCCGGTACCAATTGATCCACGGACCGGTACCGGTCCGCGGCTCGGGGGTTGGGGACCACTGCTGTAGTTGACGGTTACTAAAAATTGGATTTTGCGCTTTTTATTTAAACAATTTTTCTTATAGCTTATCTATGATGTTTCCTGCATCTCTTTTCCAAAACTTTCAAAGTTTTAATAACACATAATATTGAAAGCCAAACAATTCTGAGAAAAAAAACTGCGGATTACAGTGTAGAATTGTTGTGGACAGAAAGTTGGAGATGAATTAAAACACCAGATGTGACTGAGTAAGGGGTGTTCTCAGTCTTGCTGGTTTAGGCCAGGGTTGAGGCAGGAGAACTAAGGAACAAAGGCATCAAAGAACTGAACTGCAGTTAGGCTACTATATATGCATTCAGGAAAAACCCCAAGGATGTCTACACTGTCTACCTGCTAGTCTTCAGGGGATCATAAACACAACCCACTTGTGATGACAACAGCAGCTTTATTTCTTCAACATAGCAAATGAAGAATAAAAAGTCTAGCCAATGAATTCATTAATTTAAATGAGCTTTCTGCAGCATCAACTTTTCCTCTGCCCATCTTTGAGCTGTGCAATAACCCTGTATTACTCCTTTATTCCTGAACAGCAGTTTTCACACAGCAGTGACACTCCTGCTTGGTGTGTCACAGCCAAGGACAGTTATCTTAGACCTACATCGTATCAACAGTGTGTGTGTGTGTGTGTGTGTGTGGTGGGGGACTAATATTAGCATCACTTCCTCTCCTTTAGATTATTTCTTCTATCCTGTTTGGTGCATGCGAACAGAATAGCATCATCCTGAAGATATTGCAGACATCTGAACAGCCTCCCTTTATTCCCAGGATTAGTAAAATACAAGGATAATCACCTTTATTTGGCCAAACATGTTACACACAAGGAATTTGTTTCCGGTACAGAACCGAGGCAGCCATCTGCGGTGCCAAATCACACTGATGGCTCTAACCATCAGGAGCAACTTGGGGCTCAGTGTCTTGCCCAAGGACACTTTGACATGTGGACTGCAGGCACCGTGGCTCAATCCCCCAACTGGAGGGTTGGGAGATGACCGCTCTACCCACTGAACCACAGTAGCCCCCAGCAAATATATGAAAGTTCATATATTCTTCACAATAGCAGCACATGTGAGATGTGGTAATGCATGTCTGAAAAATACTGCTGTGAAAGAGGCAACGTGATTCACAGCAGCTCTGGTCCCAGATGTTCACCATCAGGGTGGGCATCGTTTCCACTCAAGATTTTGCTTACATATTAAGAACAGGTTCTAGCATCCTGACAGAACAGTGTATATTTTTGACAGATTCTAAGCCAGGGTATAATTGCTGACAATTAAGAAAGGACCTTAGCCAACTGGTCTTGATACAGACATTGCTTATCAATATAAAATATCTGAATCAGTTCAAATACAGATCTTTCTGACCAGTCTGGGAAATGGCCTAAAAAAAAAAAGGGGAAGCTTTTATAAAGCACTGTATCTTGGACCAACACTACAACCACATGATTAACCAAAATAAAGTTTAAGAATAGACATGAAATAATGAACGTATTAACACACATGAACCAGAACTGGAATGGGAAAAACTAAGAGTATACCTCTCTTTACAGAGAGATATGTGTACAATGTGGGTCTAACTCAACACACACATTTATCCAGTGTTTGAACCGTTCATATAGTATGAGACCACATCATAATCTCACAGATGTAGCCAAGTTTCATTTTCTGTTCTCACATACTTGGTTATTTGTGTGACTCCTCACATCCTTCTCCATCTCCTTGTCTCTCTCTCTTTGTACAGTTGCTACAATCAATATTTAGTTATCATTTTTATTAAAAA